ATGACATTCCTTTATAGGCTTAGGGCCAAAATTCTCACCTCTCATCTCTCTCTCTCTCTCTGTCTCTCTCTCTCTTCAAGCTCCTTGGTTGCTAGGGTTTGGGTGTGAACCATTAGAGGCGTGACACTTCTGGCGCTTGCTTCCAAGAGTCTTTCAAGGAGGAATTCAATACTGTTTGCAATAACAATCTTAAAGGTTAGTTTTCTTATCTTATGAATTAGTTTGTTAATAGAAAATTTTTGTAGATTATCCATTCATAGTATGTTGTTATATGTGAAAGACATAGATCCTATTTAGTTGCATATGCCCTAATCATTTGAATTGTTTAAATGTTTTTCGCTTAGTGCATTGTAGTTGTAACCCTAATAACCCATCATTTTGAGAACACATTTCACTCTGATTATCTTTTGAACAATGAATAAATGGTTTTGGTTGTTTGAAAAATGAAATTTTTACTTATTATTTTTGGGACGTTACACCTGAACCTTTATCCTAGATCTTTCAATATCTTCGACGCCGTCTGTGCATACTTAATGCTGCTTTGGCTCTCCTTTTCCATGACCGTTGTTAACCATCCTTCTATCATGGAATCACATTGCATCCAAAGCATTTATTTCTCGTTTTTTATCTTCGGTTTCGACATCGAATCATCGATGAAGCTTATTTTGTTTTTGGTGAACAGGAAGTTCGTCATCTCTTGGGTCCTATCACCATAGTTCCTATTAGTGAGAGGTTCGTTTACTTGCATTTGTCGTGGTGTGTCAAACAAGTTTATGTAATAGGGCGAGTTGGTGTCGATGGCATCAATCTTGCCATCAGTGTTTTTCTTTGAAGCTCCCTCTCCGGTTATGGATGAAAATTAGGGTTGGATTATTGGTAGGGTTTGGAAAGTATACCGCTCTAATACCAAGAATAAATCGATATTTAGCCAACTTATTATTATCATTCACCAAAACAAGGTTATAAAGAGAGAACACAAAACAAACTCTCAAACATTACGGAGAAATAAAGGGAAGCAAAAGGAAGATAAGGTAACAAGAATCCATAAATAAAACAAAATATTCCTTTAATTTGAATTAATAGTAATATGCTTATTCACTTAGATGGAAACCTAAACCTCAAAAGAGCCCATAGGTGCAAGTTAATAGTCCTCTACTAATTCAAAAAAAAGAAGAGAGAGAGAGAGAGAGAGAGAGGGAAGGCAAAGATGATAGTGGAAACACACCAGATGAAAAAGTTAATACAACTTGCAGAGGAAATTACCAAAGTTGCAAACATATTGATGGAAAAACATACTCTTGATAACAACGATGGATCCAGAACAAAGAACAAAATTCTAGGGTAGCACGGGTAAATTTTAGGGGTAGCACACCGAAAAAGTTGCACTACACCAAAAAAAATTGTCAAAAAATCCACTTCCTCTAGAAATTTGAGGGGTAATACGGGCTACCCTAGGCATGATTACTAACGGTATGGACACATGTATAGAGAAAATGAAGTAGGGAGTATTTTATGCAAGATACCAAACGATTATTTTTATATTCGTTGAAAGTGTCAATATTATGAAAGTTTGGTTACACGTTAACCAGTTGAGTTGTGAATCATGACTGAGAAATACGGGAATGAAGTTTGGATTATTCAGATGACTTTGAATTTTTTTTGCATGACTTTTGGATCTTTTTTGGGTGACTTTTGAATGTATTCTCGGATGACCTTTCGATCTTTTTTTATGACTTTTGGATGTTATGTTATGGATTTATATGTTATGCAATTTACATGATATTTGTTGTGTAATATATGTTATCAATTTACATTTAACATGTTACTATGGACTCAGATAATGAAATGTATGATATCTTTTTTACTTTCATGTTAGTGGTTGATGTTAACTCGACGAACGAAAAGAAAAATTAAAATAATAATAGATATTGATTCGGCATTAACTAAGCATGCATATACACAAAAATTGCTACATGGGTCTTCTACATATCGTCATGAGATGATGCATCCTTCATGCAGAGCATACGTATTATTATGTAATCATTTACACAAAGAAATTGATTTCAATGTAGTAGGACAATAAGAACGCTAGAGAAGATGGATATGTTTTTTATAACAATAGGACATAATGAACGTTTTCGAGTGGTTAAATGAAGATTTCAATACTCCACACAAACAGTTCATAAATGTTTTCATGAGGTCTTGAATGCAATGATATGTTTTGCAAATACCTCGGAACAACATACAAGGTTAAAAGACATATTTTCAGAAGCAATATGTGTTTTAGATAAAAACTCTTGTACATGTCGTCATGTTTGTTGCTGCTGGTCAATAGACTCGTAATAGGGTAAGAGGAAAAAGTGAATGTTATGAAATATATATTAGGAATTTATGATTTGATATGATATTCACCTTTGTATCGGTCAGATATGAAGGCATGTAGGAGGTATGGAGTAAATAAGGTGTTGGTGGAGAAACCGGATTGCTCTTGGATCATGTAAGTTCACTTTCCGAACTAGTATATTCACCCTATTTCTTGGTTACAGGAAATCCATCCTAGGATAATCCAATGTGACACATGTGTATCTAGGCACAGAAACACAAGCCAAATCGTGAGAGACTTCCCAGCTTTTATAGAAGAAGAAGAAGAACTTAGAAGGGTTCTATACAGCTCAAATAAGGAGCCGTATATATACATGACAAATTAAGGTTTCTTGTCTTCTAAATTAGTTAGGAGAATCTCGAAATTAATGGCATAATCAATGGTTACCAAAATTGACAAGATTGCTCAATTTTACCATAATCACCCACTAGAATTTGTATTTTCCATAATGTAACTAATTCAAATTTACGAAGAACATTTGGGGTGTTGCCCCAAACCCCGCGGGGGTGCTACCCCTCGACCCAGCCCGCTGACCGGTCAGCGGGACCACCGCTAGAGTCTCTTCTCCTTGGACCCCGAGAGGGGCACTGCCCCTAAGACCTGCAAGGGGGCGCATCCCCCTTGACCCCCGCAATTATGTCGTATCGGCTTATAATTCGATCTTATATATGCATGCACTCCGCATTTTCCTTACATATAATATTGAGTACAAAATGATAAGCCCCTTAGCTCACATATTAGTTTCAGTTACATAAATGTCTATTGACACTAAAATCACAAACAATCCTCCCCCATTTTAGTGTAACCCATGAACTAACATAAATTTATCTAAGCAAACCAAACCAATACATAAATGAAAATGCCGAATCGATTGAATTCTCATCATAGTATCAAACAATTCAAAAACTCGAGAATCAATGTGTTCTAAGAATTGAACCCTTCAACCCACAAATACCTAAAAGTAAAATACATAATAGTTTATTGAACTTTCTAGCGAAATACAAATTGACACTATTATAAAGTCGTGTATCCTAATCCTCTAATGACTTTATCAAGGCCAATTCCACAACCTCTTGAAATGCGGCTACACTTCACAATCACGTAGGTAATTCCTTTACTTCATGTATCTGCATATACATTTTATCAAAGGGATTATTAAGAATTTTAACCTCAACTTGGCTAACTTGCAGAACCGAACACATACCTGAGATGTATACTTCATTTGTTCCAATCTATTAGTGTAAGCTTTCCACATTGATATCAACTCCTACCATCATATTATAAGGGAATTAGGTGTCTCGTCATTATAGAATTAAATGGACTTTAAGCTCATCCCAATTACACTTGTGCACTAAGTTTCTTGTCAAACCTTTAGTCAAGTGATCTGCCAAATTTTGTTGTGATTTCACAAAATCTACCGAAATCACACCGTTCATGATTATTTCTCTAATCATAATGTGTCTAACACCTAAGTGTCTAGAATTGCCATTATAGACCTGGTTATATGCCTTAGCCAACGCGGATGCATTATCACAAAGGATAGAAATAAGTGCTATCGGTTTTGACCACAAAAGAATCTCATAAACTAAATTCCTTAGCCACTGTACTTCTTTACAAGCAGCTGCTAACGCGGCAAACTCATATTCCATTGTCGATTTTGTAATGCAAGATTGGTTTTTGGAAGCCCAGGAAATGGCACCTCCCCCAAGCAAGAATACCCAACCAGTTGAGGAATGATCCTCCATATTTGGTTATCCAACTTGCATCCGAATGACCGGTCAGTGGGACCACCGCCAGGGGCTCTTCCCCTTGCACCCCGCTATGGGCGCTGCCCCTAGGACCCTTCAAGGGGGCCCATCCCCCTTGACCTGCGTAATTTTGCCGTACCAGCTTATAATTCGATCTTATATATGCATGCACTCCGCATTCTCCTTACATATAATATAGAGTACAAAGAATAAGCTCATTTGCTCACATATTAGTTCCAATTACATAAAATGCCTTGTGACATTAAAATCACCAACAAGGCATAACACATGATTGCTGAGTTTTGAAAGAAATTGTTTTTTTCATGGTGATATCGATGGTTTGCAAAAATAATTTTACACATGGATGTAAACTGGTGGTTTTAAATTTTACCATTTCCTAAATTCCCTTTTCAGTCTGCAAACGGAATTGTCAACGTAGGCGATGGGTCGCGAATGTATCATTTCAACTTTAAAATGGTGCATCCTTCATCACTTTCATTGACCATCACCTTGCAGATAGCTCTCAACAACATAATTTAGGAAATGGTATCATCAATTGTGAGTAACACCATCGAGTTTACATTCCAGTGTAAACAATATTACCAACAAGAAAAATCAAATAAATTCGAACATATACCCAATTCAAAATACCATGTAAAAGCTCCGTACTTTCTACCGATCACCATAACGAGGAGATCCACAAAAATGGTAAACAGGCTTTGTAGGAATAGCAACATGATCACCATTCCGAAAAGATCCATTTGCTGCTGATGTAAATTCCACCTACCAGATGACACTAAAATCGCTAAAATTATCAACACACAAATCTATTGTTGCAAAACTTACATCTTCATTTATATATGATATTTGTGTTGTATATTTTACCTCCTAGGCTAAAACAAACCCTACCACCAAAAAAACCATTCAATAAAATTGTTTAAAAAAATATACAAAAAAACACACAACACACTCAAGAAGAAATTCAATTTAGCCAACGATATCAATGTGAATCAGGGGCATTTACGTCTTCTTTTTTTACAAGCTTGCCTGATTTTGTCCTTTCAAACAGTCTCTCAACCAAATCATGCCAATTAGGACTTCGCTCCACATCATCTTTCTGCTTCGATGCCAACTCATCAGCAGCTTCTCCTTCTTGATGTTCTTCATTAACTGCTGACGTGGACACTCGAGGCTCATTTTCCGCCATGTCATCAGTGGTCTTGACAGCATGTGGTATATGTTGAGGCTCACTGCTCTTTCTAATGCATCTTTATGCTCTTCTTCAATTGATTGCAGCCTACTGAATTTTTGTACCTTTGGTGCTGTTGTAATGCTTTCTGAACTGCTTTTGTTTTCCTTCATTAACTGCATTTTTTCAAATGACATAAATAGCCCTCTAACTTAAAAGCATAATGATAATAACATGAGGGTAATTTGGTCTTTTCTTTTCACTTACTTGCACAGCCTTCTCTGCTTCTCTTAGAATCCAGATGATGGCATGATCAGATGTAGCATGTGATGACAAAACAATATGTTCAAATCTACCATCAACAGGAATTGCAGTTCTAACCTCTGGAGGGTATCTACCACATCTGTTTACAAATCGAAAACATGTAAAGATGGCATGAATTTGAAAGGGATGAAACTATTAACTGAAGGAAATATTTTTTACCGATTTACTACAACAATTCAAGGATAGAAGATCGTAGAAGTAATGAAATAGAAAAGTGTTAACCTGCAAAACTTTCTTTCAACAATGTGATACATTCTTCCTGGAGCGTATAATCTTCTTGGATCTCTTAACTTCCTACCTTCTGGTATGAATGTGTCCCTCAAGCAAACCATAAAGATTAAACATGGCAAACTGTTGAAATCATAAAAAAAAACCATGGATCAACATTACGATCATCGTCATCACCCATAAAACAAAATCAAAGTTTCACAACTTACCAGAAGATCGACTTGAAGATATCTTCCAATGGTGTCGCTGTTCTTGGTAAAAAATCATCCTAAACAACATAACCAGCGGTTACTAAATCAAATTCGATTCAAAATAGGCGATAACTAATTTCACTAAAAATCGCACCTGTAAAACAACTGAGTAGATAACATCGGCGTATTTCACGGCCAAATTAAGCGACATAGATCTCGCCGGAGCAAGAGCATAACACCGCACCAACTCCCTTGGTATCCCGCCGAGCATATCCCTATGATTCACCACTATCACTGTCATCAATGCCGCTACCCCTGACCCAAGTGAATGACCCACAAATATCATCTTGTAACATGACCCATTCTCAATCCACAATCGTTTCAGATTCTCAGACTCTTGATTCAACAACCAAATCGCCGATTGTAACAGCCCATGATGCACATATCCACCATCGAACATCTGCATCCCTAATCGATTATTGAGTAACAGTTTGTAATCGCTCTCTTTCTTCAAATTCAACCCTCTAATTGCTAATACGATTTCACGACGATCGTGGTCGAGATAAATCAAGTGCGGAGGCGCGTGGCCGAGTGTTTCCTGGTAAGTAACACGCTTGACAACGTAATCGGGGTTTAAACGGTATCCACCAAGTGGAGGGCATTTTGGGTGGTGGAGATCTTCTTCGTATACGGCGAGGATGACGCGGCATAGGTGTGGGACGGATTCGAATTCCTCGACAGTGGCTGGTGGCCAAGTGGCACTGTCGTCGCCGCCGACGTAAGTACACCGCTTCCATGCCCATCGGAGACAGCCTAAAGCAAAAAAACACTCAACTCCACAGCAAACAGACATGTAATTTCTATTGCAAAACCCAGAAAAAAATGGGGAAAAATATTACATGGAATTGGAGAATTGGTAGTGGAAGATTTGGGTGACGATGAAGAAAGGGATTTTGTTACAGAGAATCAGCGCTGTTAGATATGGAGTAATGGTTGTCTCAAGTAACTCTCACGTGCTTGTGTGTGCAATGACGGGTTGTACGATAACTTGAATGTTGGCTTTTTATTTGGGAAAAGAACATGTCGGATTTTCCTCTTTTTTCTTTCTGGATAATATGTTCAAGAAATTGAATTTATCAATTAACTTATAATTTAAAAAAATTATAATTTAATAATGAAGAATGTATAGATTATTATTTCACAGGATATTCAAAAGAAAAACATAACTCTAATGATAAGCAAGAGAATTATTACAGAGCGGGAGATCTATTTATAATAAGAATATGATAAATTTTATTTTATGTTACTTAAAATACATTATTTAAGAATATTTATTGTATTAAATTTGTTTATTACTCATCAACGATCATGACAATATAATGATATTTATGGTGGAGCATAACTTTTCTTAAATTTACAGCTAACTATTTATTAAATATATATTCAATGAGTTGCTTTTTAATTGAATATTTTGATTTTTAATATCTATTTTGGGTGTGTAGGCAAGAGAAGAACGTCAGGTGTTAGGACGGAAAGTTCTTAAAAAGGCTTTTATTGTGAATGTTTCAGATTATGATAAATAAATTATAGATTATTTGTCTGTTGGAACAAACTATTAAAATGGTAATTGATAAGGAATTGAATTTGGTCATGCATATCTAACTTATGTTTACTTATTTTCTAATATAAATTAAAGAATAAAATGGATGTTTTGTCATTGCATTAAAGTTTTTATTTTCTTTCTTGAACCCTATGTGTCATTATACAATAATACATAGATATTCTTTCATAAAGCTTTGTTAAAGAGTTATTCCTAAAATGATGGGAATTTGACTAATCTAACCTTTCTTTTGGTGTTTTTTTTAAATCTAACTTTTTTTTTTTTTGCAAAATAACCATATACTCGGGAATCGGCCATTCCGTACTCATTTTCGGATGTATCGCCCATTTCGATGCCTCCGGATTGCCCATTCTGGATTATCCGTACGTGTTTCAGACCTAGGATTTGAATTTCAAAATCCAGAATATAATTTGAATAATCCGGACCCTCGACTTCATTCTTGATCTTGTTCCGACATTCTAAATCGATTCCGGCACGCGAATCCGATTCCGATTCCAACCTCCGACACACAACTCCGACATGGAAGACGACCATTACGACCCGGTTATTTTACGGGTATATGTTCGTCACTTCAAAAACCTACTTTGCTTGTTTGTATACCATGATTATTCACCGAGAACTACCGATCCGGAATGCGTAGAACACATCTGGAATGAACTGAAACCGTTCCGGAGTGTTAATTTAATAAGTCATTGCAATAGGACCAACCCAAAACTAGTTTATATGCTTAGGTATTGCTACTTTAGATTGAAATGCGGTGCTCTGGTACTTAAAAACTAATTGATCTGGTATGGGAAAACTTTGGAACACGATGAACTATTCCTGAACTGGTCCAGAATATTGGTCAGTTTTCGTTCCGGCATGAAGTGTTAACACATTTTTTATTTGGGCAGCACGACAAGGTTTTTGATCTATCCGTTACACGGTCATGTAAACCCAAATTCAGTGGGCAAATTCTTGAGGCATTCAAAGACAGACCAGAATGCATGCATATGCTCCGGAATTCATGTTTTGGGAGGTGGTTAGACATTCTTAATGTAGATGGGGATCATTTGCTTCTACCTTATGTCTTTTTCCACGAATTTATCATGGACCCCTGAAGCGAAATGGATGAAATGGTATTTGAGATTAGTGGTTACAAGCTGTCTTTCAGGAAGAAAGAATTTGTCTTATCACGAGCTTCCGGTTTGGTGACTATTTTCCTGCTTCTGTTTCGGCACCGCCTTCCATTCCCGTTTCTTTCCTATGGTCGCAAGTAAAGTCTCAATGAAATTAAAAGATGTGATTAAGGTGTTTGAAAAGTCACTTAATAAATTATCGGATGAGTATGTGGTCCGTGTATGTCTCATCTATCTGTTAGAGAAGGGTTTCAACGGTCGGTTGAAAAAAACAGTATGTGTCAAAGGAGTATTTCTATTTGCTATCCAACCTTGATGAATTCAACAGGTATCATGTCGTTATTTTATAACTACATATTATAATTAACTATGTTATTACTAATATTTTTTCCTATTTTTTTTACAATTTTAATAGGGAATTTTTTATGTCGCAGATATCCATGGGGGTGATAATTTGTGATCAATTGTACTCACAACTAATTATGGTATTCAATAAGGTTGACAAGCATCTACATCTAGTTGAACAGAAAGAGAAACAACCTGAAAAATGACATACACCATAAACGGCTTTTTATACACTTTTAAGGTAAGTACATGAACAGTTTATTATTATTATTTATTGTGTTTACTAACATTCTAATAAATGATTATTTTAGATACGGATTCTCAAGACTTTTCCTATGAGCAGTTTGTTTGGTACCCGACAACAGAATGTGATCCATCGGGTTATTTCATGGTCGAAACTGAGGCCTTTACAAAACCCTCAATGTAGCCCGTTTCTAAAAATCGACGACTTATGGTTACTTACATATTTTTAGATTTTATTTTTTATGTATAAGTTATGTTTATTTATTATTTTATAATTTTATTAGCAGTATATAAACTTATACAAAAATTGGAGCCCACAGAAGCTGAGAGTCATATTGAATGGTGGATAGCTAGTTGTGTGTGGATCGATCCCCCTGGTTTTCCCAACACAGAAGTTCACATGGCACCTTCCCTAACACCATCACCCAAAAACTTCCCTACCCATGAGCCTCGAGAAAAGAAGGCACTGATAGATGATCCATCTCATCCGGCACCACTATCATTGTTGACTGTCGAACCATCAACTCACAAGGATCGAATTATTAGTAACTTGCAAAACAAGATTTGTCACTTGCAAAAGGAGCTTAGTGAATGGCGCAAGTAGTTAAGGTCACAGATAAGCGTTTAGCAGAGCATGACGCTACTTTAGCCATGGTTCTAAAACTTATCAATAAGACTCCCAAAGATGATGTTGGTACCTCGAAGGGGGTGGAAGTACATTGTTAATTATTTCACCGTTATGGGTCCTTATGTTTTTGCATCGTTTACAAGTAAATATTATTGAACCTTATAGGCACTCTTCGTGCCAGATGCTCGTACCACATACTACAATGACGATGACTTATGGGTTAGGCACACCCAGACAACCACTGAATGACGGCCCTGAGCAGCTGTCTCCATGTATTCAATCGTCGAATGTAAAAGAGATTACGCGGGATGAATACAAAACATCGTCGCTAGCACCTCTTAGGTGTTCTAAGCGCCAAAAAGTTATGTACATACGGTATAAGTCCTCATAGATACAAATGAAGAGGAAAAGTGTTACACGGTAACAACCAGCATCGTTGGACAATCTTTTAGAACCTACCATACACATTGTATATAATAACGGGATGGTTCATTGTGTTTGGTCATAGTTATTTGACCGGTTAGCTACGATTGAGTTTTGGAAACGGTGATATGTGGATAGTCATGGAGGATGGTGGTCATGTGATGTAAGTAATATAATTATGTGCTCATTATATATTGTGCTTCTAATAACAATATATACTTTACTACAAAAAAAATTGGCAGCACATCATGATGTGGATCTCATTATCGCAAGAGCGTAAAGCGGATGATGCTTGGTGAACGGTTGTGTCATCAGCTTCCAACACTGATACATTTGACTGGGTGACATGGCTGACGGATTTGTTTACCCAGTTTTAGCAGACTGTGATATGGTATATTTGTGTTTGGGTTACATTACCTGAGTATGTATATTTCTAACCTTTTTTGTAGCTTTACATCCCAATCAATATACCACATGCTAATTGTTTTTTGGATGATTTAGATTTGAAGACATTCAAAATGACTATATACGATAGTCATTGGAAGGGCGGCTAATGTTCAGAAAATGAGGATTGTTTTATAGGTATGAGAGCCCGCATCTACAGACTGCTAGTGGGTGTCAACTACTGGGGTACCGAACCAACTGATTCAATCCCACATGAGAGCTTTAACACGACCCTCGAAAAGGCCCCAGATGTACCACAACATATTGACAGCAGAGGGGATTGTGGGGGCTCTTGTGTTGGTTCCTGGAGGCGTTGATCACCAGGAAATCGATTTTTATAACGTGTAAAACCGGTCCATGGGCTATGGTTTATCGAAAATGACTGGCGGAAATTTTTTGGGGTACAAGGTCAAATATTATTTGAACATTGTATTTTTAATATCGCTTAAAGACACATTCCTTTAGTTTATGTATTTATTACTTGTTTGTTGATTTTAATTGCATTTTACATTTTATAAAACCAAAATTTATGCATTTTATAAAAGCAAAGCTTATACACTATATAAAACCAAAACTTATAATAAAAGAAGAATCACATGTTACACGAAAAAGCAAATAACAAAAAAAAATATTAAAATGTATTCCGGAATCATACTCTGGAATTCCGGAGACCTCTCCGGAACAATGTGTTCCGGACAATATGGTTACTTAAAATGATTGTGTTTAGAGGAGTTGTATCATTTATAAGGGTTAGATTACTCAATTTCCTTAAAATGATCGTATTTAGAGGAGTTGTATCATCAAATCATCATCGTTTTCGGATTTTAATAAAATAACCATGATACATGTGAGCATATCAACTAAATTTGTGGGAAATGCGTTCTTTTGAAAAAAGGTAAGTACAATAAACATTTGTAGGTTTGATTTATTTCTTAAAGAGGAGGGAGTCCTTCCCTCCTAACTCACTCAATTTAGTGTCACATCAACGTCACATCAATTTTTCTCTCATCTCTTTTCCATCTTTCTCAACCCACAATACATGAGAATTCTATCTTTCCCAACTCACTCAATTTTTTAATTTTAAAATAAATACACACTAATTAAAATCATTCAAAATTAATTAACAAAAACATTAAAAACATACAAAACTAATTCATAAAGTAATTAAAACATACAAACATAATTTGGTACAAGTTTTAAAGCATGA